GAAGTAACAACTGACCCCTCAGAAATACAAAGGATTGTAAAAAAAAAAAAAATACTACAAACAACTCTATTCCAAAAACTGGACAACCTAGATGAAATGGACAAATTCCTAGAAAAATACAATCTTCCAAAACTCAATCAGGAAAAATCAGAAAATCTGAATAGGCTGATAACTACTGAGGAAATTGAAGCAGTCATCAAAAAGCTTCCAGCAAACAAAAGCCCTGGTCCGGACAGCTTCACAGGGGAGTTTTATCAAACATTCAAAGAAGAACTAACACCTATACTCCTCAAAGTATTCCAAAAAATCCAAGAGGAACACTTCCAACCTCTTTTTATGAAGCCAGCATTAACCTAATCCCAAAACCAGATAAAGATGCAACAAAGAAAGAAAATTATAGGCCAATATTCCTGATGAACAAAGATGCTAAAATCCTCAATAAAATATTAACAAATGGCATCCAACAATTTATTAAAAAGATCATGCACCATGACGAAGTGGAATTTATTCCAGGGATGCAAGGATGGTACAATAGTCACAAATCAATAAATGTGATACATCACATAAACAAACTGAAATACAAAAATCAGATGATCATATCAATAGATGCAGGAAAAAAAACATTAGACAAAATGCAACACCCTTTCGTGATAAAATACTCTCAGCAAAGTGGGAATAGAGGGATCATAACTCAACATAATAAAAGCCTTATATGACAAACCTACAGCCAACATCATACTCAATGGGCAAAAACTAAAACCATTTCCCCTAAGAACAGGAACAAGACAGGAATGTCCACTTTCACCACTCCTGTTTGACATAGTACTGGATGTTCTAGCCATAGCAATCAGACAAGAAGAAGAAATAAAAGGCATCTGAATTGGAAAAGAAGAAGTAAAACTGTCATTAGTTGCTAATGACATGATATTGTACATAGAAAAATCCTAAAGACTCCATCAAAAAACTACTTGATTTAATAAATGAATTCGGCAATGTAGCAGGATACAAAATTAACACTCAGAAATCAATGACATTTTTATACACCAATAATGAACTTATAGAAAGAGAAACTAAAAAAAAATAATCCCATTTACCACTGCAACAAAAATTAAGATACCTAGAAATAAACTTAACTATAGAGGTAAAAGACCTGTACTTGGAAAAGTACAGGAAAAAAGAGATAGAAGAAGATATAAACAAGTGGAAGAATATACCGTGTTCATGGATTGGTAGAATCAACATCATTAAAATGTCCATATTACCCAAAGCAATCAATAAACTCAACGCAATCCCCATTAAAATCAATGGCATATTTCACAGACCTAGAACAAACTCTCTAAAAATTTATATGGCATAAAAAAAGACCCCGAATAGCCGCAGAAATCCTGGGGGGAAAAAACAACAAACCAAAGTTGGAGGGATCACAATACCAGACATCAAGTTATATTACAAAGCCACTGTTCTTAAAACACCCTGGTACTGGTGCAAGAACAGACACATAGACCAAGGGAACAGAACAGAGAACCCAGAAGTCAACCCAAGCCATTATGCTCAATTAACATTTGACAAAGGAGGCAAGAGCATACAGTGGAGGCACGCGCGGGGCTGGACTGACCTGAAAAAATGTCTGGATTTCTAGAAGGCTTGAGATGCTCAGAATGCATTGATTGGGGGGAAAACGCAATACTATTGCTTCCATCGCTGCTGGTGTTCTATTTTTTACAGGCTGGTGGATGATCATAGATGCAGCTGTCATTTACCCCACTATGGAAGAGTTCAACCATTCATACCATGCCTGTGGCGCCACAGCAACCATCGCCTTCCTAATGATTAATGCCGTATCGAATGGACAAGTCCGAGGCGATAGTCACAGTGAAGGTGGGCTGGGTCAAACAGGTGCTCGCATTTGGCTGTTCATTGGTCTCATGTTGGCCTTTGGCTCTCTGATTGCATCTATATGGATTCTCTTTGGTGGTTATGTTGCTAAAGAAAAAGCCGTAGTATACCCTGGAATTGCTGTATTTTTCCAAAATGCCTTCATCTTTTGTGGAGGACTGGTTTTTAAGTTTGGCTGTACTGAAGACTTATGGCAGTGAAAACATCTCATTTATTGCTCCTGTACAACAGCCCTGAGTGGGTTTGTTCTGTTGTGTTTGTTTCTTATTTTTAATAGTCACTCCCAATCTTTTGTAATGACATTTTCTAAACTTATTTCTGAGTGTAGTCTCAGCTTACATTTGTGTGATACTAAAATCATGAGAAATCGCTATTTAAACAATAACAACAAAACTCTATTGTGGTATGCATTTGATTAACTTATCAAACGTTAAGGAAAAGTATTCCACGTGAGTAAGTTTTGTTGTTTTATCATGGTATAATTGTAAAAATAAAAATAAATTAGAAAAGAAAAAAAAAAGAGCATACAGTGGAGTCAAGAAAGTCTCCTCAGTAAATGGTGCTGGGAAAATTGGACAGATACAGGAAAAAAATGAAACTAGACACCATCTTACACCATACACAAAAATAAACTCAAAGTGGATAAAAGACTTAAATGTAAGATGGAAAACCATAAAAATCTTAGAAAAATCCATAGGCAGCAAAATATCAGACATATTTCGTGGCAATATATTTACTGACACATCTCCTGACCTAGGACAATGGAAACTAAGGAGAAAATAAACAAATGGGGCTACATCAAAATAAAAAGCTTCTGCACTGCAAAAGAAACCATCAACAAAACAAGAAAGCCCACTGCATGGGAGAACATATTTGCCAATATTATTACCGATAAGGGTTTAATCTCCTAAATTTATAGGGAACTCATACAACTTAACTAAAGGTAAACAATTCAATCAAAAAATGGGCAAATGACCTAAATAGATACTTCTTGAAAGCAGACCTACAGAAGGCCAAGAGACATGAAAAAATGTTCAAAGTCACTAATCATCTGAGAGATGCAAATCAAAACAACAATGAGGTACCATCTCACACCTGTCAGAATGGCTATCATCAACAAATCAACAAATGACAAGTGCTGGAGAGGATGTAGAGAAAAAGGAACCCTCGTGCACTGCTGGTGGGAATGCAGACTGGTGCAGCCACTATGGAAGACAGTATGGAGTTTCCTCAAAAAACTGGAAATGGAACTCCCATTTGACCCTGTGATCCCACTTCTAGGAATATATCCCAAGAAACCAAAAACACCAATCAGAAAGGATATATGCACCCATATGTTCATAGCAGCACAATTCACCATAGCTAAGATCTGGAAACAGCCTAAGTGCCCATCAGTAGATGAATGGATTAGAAAACTGTGGTACATCTACACGATGGAATACTATGCTGCTGTAAAAAAGAAGGAACTCTTACAATTTGCAACGGCATGGATGGAGCTGGAGAGCATTATGCTAAGTGAAATAAGCCAGTCAATGAAGGAAAAATACCACATGATCTCACTCATTCATGGATAATAAAGACCATTACAAACTTTTGAACAATAATAGATACAGAGGCAGAGCTGCCTCAAACTGATTGTCAAACTGCAGTGGGAAGGCCAGAGAGGTGGGGGAGGTTGTGAGAGGACAATGGGGGGAAAGGGGCATATGTAATACTTTTAACAATAAAGAATTAAAAAATATTGAATGAGATAACAAATGCAAGGAATGTAGCACAGAACTTGCCTATAATAAACACTCAATAAATAGAAAAATAAAGAAGATGTAACTTATTTTCATACATTTAATGACAGCCTAGCGTTTTCTACTGTGTCCTCACCATCCTGGGTCCCTCTGGTGGAGGCGGGGAAGCAGGTAAGAGAATGGGCCGCTGTTTCTCTGCCCTCTCTGGCTGGAGTGGCTGCCCAGCCCAGCTCCCTGTCCTGCAAAGGGGCCCACAGTCCTGCTTAGAGGCTCAGTCTCCAGCACCTGTGTGGTCACCTGCATCACACCCTCACTTCAATGCTCCGATGGTTCCTGTTTTCCTGCCTGGATCTCCAGTTGAACTGACTTCTAGTGATATTTAGCTTTGTATACTAAATTATTAAAACAGTTTGTGCATTAGGGATAGTAGACCCCTATCATTTTGCAAATATATTTTCCCAATTGGTCAATCACCTTTAAATTTGGTCAAGTTTATGGAGTACTGCACCTTACAGAAATTTAACATTTTATCTGCTTTTTTAAAAAATATATATTTTTATTGATCTCATAGAGGAAGGGAGAGGGAAAAATAGGGAGAAACATCAATGATGAGAGAAAATTATTGATGGGCTGCCTCCTGCACGCTCCACACTGGGGATCGAGCCTAACAACCCTGGCATGTGCCTTGACTGGGAATCAAACCGCGACTTCCTGGTTCATAGGTCGATGCTCAACCACTGAGCCTCACTGGCCGGGCTTAATCTTCTTTTATTCTCAGAAACTCCTTTCCTGTCACTATGCTCTTTCATTCATTTTCCTCTTTACCCCATTTGGAACTGGTCTTGGGGATACTGTAGGGCAGGCGTCTCTCTGCCCTCGCGTTGCTAGTTAATGCACTAAACTGACATCTAGTGGCATCGGCGCTATGCAGTTTGGATTTTTCTCCTCTGTACCTTATTCCCTTACAGCACAATGACACACATCGATAAAGTGTCCCTACATTTTCCTCAAAAACTCTTAAATTATTATTTATCATTAAGCTATTCATGTTTCAGTCTTTGATTTTTTTTGTTTTCTTTTTAAATCTTTAATATGATTTTTGACCCAGAATAATTCATGTGATACGCGTGAGTGGGATTCTGCCTCAGCCAAACTAGGTGCCTCCCGGTAAGTGCAAATCCCGCGCGTTAGATGCTGAGCATCGGGACACAGCACACCTGCTCTCACACAACAGAGGCGCCGAGAAACGCAGCGCAGATAAAGAATGTGCAGTCAGCAGTGAAACAAAGCTCCATTTTAAAAGTGTACTGAAGACAAACACTGCAACTCCACAGACTTCCGCCAATTCCCCAGGACACCTACTTTTGCTTCAGGGCCTGAGTCCGACTCTTTTGGCGTTGTGAGGCGGTTGCAAAATCCACAAAAATTCCACACACAGGGGCTCTGGAAGGTGAACTGTTTGCATCTGTACAGAAAAAAAAAACAACACAATTTTTGAAACAAATATTTCAAGCAAAAAATGTCAAGTATAAAATTTTTAGAAGCATATTTAATAATTGTAGCCCATGACTAACATTACTGATAAACATCGTTCACCAGCACTTAAGAGACCGCCTCTGCTACTTTCATGTAAAACTTTCAGGCAACAAAGCAAAACTTAGTGTGTATGCGCCAATCACACCAGGGAGAGTTAGCAATATTTCAGAACCCCTCTACCATGCAGTCTACACTTCTCCCCACTCTGCCCGGCCCCTCCAGAATGTATGCCCTAATCAGGGAGCTGGGACATGAACATACAAGCAGCAAAAACAGAGACGGAGGCAAGTTAATGTTGACCTTCTACAGCCGTGGTTCTCAACCTTCCTAATGCCACGACCCTTTAATACAGTTAGTTCCTCATGTTGTGGTGACACCCAACCATAAAATTATTTTCGTTGCTACTTCATAACTGTAATTTTGCTACTGTTATGAATCGTAATGTAAATATCTGATATGCAGGATGTATTTTCATTGTTACAAATTGAACATAATTAAAGCATAGTGATTAATCACAAAAACAATATGTGTTTTCCGATGTGGTCTTAGGCGACCCCTGTGAAAGGGCTGTTTGACCCCCAAAGGGGTCGCGACCCACAGGTTGAGAACTGCTGCTCTACAGGCTCAAGTCCAGGGCAGGGCCCAGACTGAAGGGCGGTCTTGGTGGGAGCTCCTCCCACTGCCCTCCTCCGCACAGGATGTCAACTCCCCTCAGCTCTCCAAGGATTTCTGTGGTTTCCTGTGCAGATTTACTGCCACACTTGTTTGCTCAAATGTTTATTTCAATTGCATCTCATGCCCTCCAGCCGTTTTATCGGGTCCCCGGGGCCCATGGCGGGAATGCGCGGGATCTGGGTTGGGAGTCCTGCCCGTCACCTGCTGTGACCGTGAGCAGGTTGTTCACGGCCCCTTTCTCCTGTGCTGCACGACATCCACACAGGACAGCACGGCACGAGGGTGAACGCAGGCGTGTGGACGAGCACCTTCCGCCCGCTGTACGCACACAGATGCCAGGAGCCTCCTGAACAATGAGGAAACTGGACGATGTTTCACGGCACAGGGTTAAGACGGGAATGAAGACACCTTGCCACACGGCTCGCAAATGCCAGGTGTCAGCACCCTCACCAACCAAGTACACAGTTCACCTTTCAGAGGTTAGAAACGTTTTCAAATGCCTCGGCATAACCTCGTGCCCTGGAAAAAGGTATTTATCAAATGGTTTCCTATTGCCCTGAAAAGGGAGCAAATAGGACAGTCAGCACAGGTGCAGCAGGCAGTGCACAGCAGTGACACCAGCACAGCTGGGGCTGGGCAGCAGGACACAGGGAATGAACCCTCTCTCAGCCCAGGTGGTGGCGGCTGTTAGCACTAACAGTCACTATGCTGAAGACAAGCACCTTACAGGTATTAGCTTATTTAATTAACTCTCACAGCCCTAAAGAAGGCCTTGCCCTTATTTTGCAGGAAGGAAACTGAAGCACAGAGAGGGTAAGTCCCACTCCAGACCACACAGCTGGTGACAGAGCCAGTGCCACTGAGGCCACTCCACGGCCCCTACCACAGGCAGGACGGCGCTCCGCGGGGCCAGGCTGGCTCAGTGTTCAATGGGTCCTGGAGGGCAGCGCCACCTGTCTGGGTAGCAGTGTAATCATAGTGAATAATTCTTTCAAATAAAAAATACAACAAAAATAATGTCTTAATGGGGGTTCTAAATTCTTGTAAATCAAGCTATTAAAGCCCATAGTGCCCGGAACAATAAAGGACATGAATAAAATTTTTAAAAAAGGTAATTCAAAGGTCTGCTAAGAAAACCAGGAACTGCAGAACAAAAGCTTGCAGACTCTCAGCAACACCACAGCAGGCCCCCAATTCACACCGCCATCAGGACAGCTGCTCCGGCTTCGGAGACACAGTTTAGCTGTGCATTTGGAGAACAGTCCATAATACTCAGGTTTTCTGCCTCTACAACAGGCACAGATGTGAGGGTAGTAACCACTCTGCCCGACCTTCACTGGATTATTGCATCGCATCAACTATTAGTCATAATTAATTGTACCTATTACTTATGACTTATTTTACTAGATAATTTAAAGTAGCATATCATCCAATAATTTTAATATTGTCCTAGTTGACATATTGTGTTAATTGTAGTGTAAATTTATCAAGATGCTATCGTTTTTTCCCTGTAAGTAATTTAGAAATATTTACTCCTGCTCTTACAAGTATCATTATTATAACACAATGCCAAGAATTTCTGAGCAAAACACACTCTAATGTCACAAAGAAACCCCCTGAAACACACTCAACGGGCCCCATTCTGAACCTTTCCCACTGCGCCGGCTCTGCGGGTGCTTCTGAGCCTCCGGTGGACACACGAGGTCGGTGGGCAGACTGACAGGCGGGCAGGACGAGCAGGATGTGACCCACGTGAGCACCTCTGCACTGACCGTGCACAGCCACCCTCCGGCCCACCTGGCCCAGGCCCCGAGCAGAAGGCTGTCGGAGCTCCCGCTGCAGACACCCCGCACACTGGTCTCTGAGTGCCGCCTGACGGGAGTCGCAGGGACGAGGCCCAGCTCCCGGGGGCACAGACAGCAGCCCCACCACGTACCGGCCGCTGGCTCCCTCTCCCGCTCCGATCGACCTTGCTTCTGAAACAGCTTCGACGACAGCTCGCCAATCCTTTCATTTTCTGCATTGATGGCGTTTTGAATTTCCTGTATCTCCTTTTTTCTGGCTGGAGGAAGTTCTTCCATTTTCTCTCTTGGTTCTGGCTCATTCGTGCTATCATCATCACAAACCTCAAAGTCATCTTCATAGTCCTACAAACAATAATCATGTTTTTGAAAACTTTAAGACAAATAGACTTTAAAGAACACAAAGCAAAACGTGCAATTTATCATTTAAAATAGACAGTCGACATCAGCCTCCTGGTGGATAAAGAAGACCTCTTTGTTTGTCTCTCCCCTTACATTTATCAGGCAGACACCTCTAATCCAACCTGGCTCCTCTGCCAGCTCACAAACACGCTGCGAGACCCACGCCTCAGTACATCTGCAGGGGGCGTGTTGGATGCGTAGGGCAGCGGGACAGGGAAGGGCAGGGACGGTGTCTGCAGATGCCGTTCAATGGCCACCGTGGCCCCAGCTAACACAACAGTAGGGGAGGGTCGAGGTGCGACCTCCACGCTAGAGCCAGCGAAGGGTGAGAGGGCAGAAGCAGCACTGCTGCCCAAGATTCCAGCTCCCTCCTCGATAACAGCAGCTACAGCCCAGGGTGCCAGCGGCCACAAGGAACAGGGGGCAGTGCTGTGGGCTAGCAAACCCAGCTACCCCCACCCACCACATCCCCCACCACAGTGGTGGTGCCCCAAGACCTAGGCAACCCAGACAAAACGAGAACACCCCCCACCTTGGTGGTACTACATGCACAGGTGAGAGAAAACACAGCCTGCACTACAGCACCACCTGCTGGAGAACAGAAGGGCGTCCTCTCAGCACCAGCGTGCTCACTGTTAGGCTCAAACCTACCTGAACAAGGAAAGAACTCAGACTTCAACTGCACCGGCCAAGGAACAACCCATCAAGCACCATGAACACACAAGGTCACATGGTCACCAAAAGATCATGACAATCTCCAGAAACCCAAGTCAAAGCCACGGACTGCTGGATTTAGATGACAGAGAATTCAAGATTGCGGTCATGAGGAAACTCAGTGATACAAGAAAACCTCAGAAAGGAAGTTCAAGAAGCTCAGGAATAAAATTAATGAGCAAAAGGAGTACTTTATCAAAGAGACCAAAACTATAAAAAAGAATCAAACCAATTCTAGATCTGAAGAACTCAATAAATGGGATAAAGAATGCATTAGAGAGACTGGAAATAGAGCAGAACATAGGGAAGGGAGAATTTGTGAGCTCGAAGACAGAAACCTAGAAAAGATTCAGGTGGAAGAAGAGAGAACTAAGAGTGAAAAAAATAAAGAAACAATACCAGCACGATCTGACCCCATGAGAAGAGCAGCACCAGGACGATGAGTCCCCAGGAGGACAGAGAGGGGGCAGCGAGGGCTTCTGAAACCCAGGGAAGAAAATGCCGTTCGAGTACAAGAAGCTAACAGGACATCTCATTATCTCAATGCAAAAAGACTGCTCCAAAACCCTTTGTATTAAAACTGTCAAAAGTTAATGATAAAGAATTCTCAAGGCAGCCAGGGAACAAAAAGACAGTATCCTACAGAGAAACTCCATTCAATGATCTTCATCTTTCTCAGTAGAAACCCTACAGGCTAGAAGAGAGTGAAATTATAGACTCAAAATATGGACAGAGAGAAACCACCAGCCAAGGAAAATCAATCCAGCAAAGCTCTCCTTTCGGCTGATGGAGAAACAAAGGCTTCCCCAGACCTCCGCGCGCCAAGGGCATTCACCCCTCAGACCGCATCACAAGGAACGCGGAGAGGAGCTCCTCCACCTGAAGCAAAAAGACAGCAGCACGCGACCCTGGGAGTGGCCCTACTGGGTGGCTCAGTGGACGGAGTGCTGGCCTGCGGGCTGGGGGGTCACGGTTTGATTCGGCCGAGGGCGCGTGCTCGGGTTGCGGTCTCGGTCTCCAGTGGAGGGCGTGCAGGAGGCGGCCCATCAGTGATTCTCTCTCATTATTGATGTTTCTATCTCTCTCTCCCCCTCTCCGTTCCTCTCTGAAATCAATAAAACTATTTTTTAAAAAACTATGAGTGGGATGACTGACAGACAGGCAGGAAACTGCACCTCTACTTCAGAATAGGGCACTAAACAATCATAACGAAGGTAAAGACAAGTACCTAGAGCTGCTGCAATTTATTAAAATGCACCATAAAACATCAACATAGAAAGGAAGAGGAAAAGAACTGGATTGTGTAAGGGAATGGAGATGCTAAGCACCAGAAACAGGACTACATCTTCAACTACGAGATTATTTTATACAAACCTCATGGTAACCACAAAACAAAACCCAGAGCTGGGGCCAAAACATTAAGAAAGAGGAAATGAAGAAAAACATCACAGAAAACCATCTGACTGAAATAGCAGACAAAAAGGAAAGGGAAAAGAAACGATGGAGACACAGAGCGGCCAGAACACAAAAGGTGAAAGGGCTGCAGGGAGTCCTCGTGTATCGGGCCTCACCCCACGTGTGAACGGCTGAACTCGTGGATTGAAAAACAAGAGCCCCCAATATGCTGCCTTGCAGAGACCGTCACACCTGCAGCCGCTAACCGGCCCCCAGTGCGGGGAGGCGACACTCCCCGCAAACAGTGTCCGGAGAAAAGCGGCCGAGCCACACTCGTATCAGACAAAACAGATTTCAAGACAAAAAAGATAACAAGATGAAAAGATGGACATGTATACCGATAAAGGGGACAATTCATCAAGAAAACATAACGTTTACTAATATATGCGCACCAAAGATACTTTCAAATGATAATTCCAACAAGGATTACTATCCAAAATATATAAAGAACTCAACAACAACAAAAAATCTGCTTAAACAATGGGCAGAGGATCTGAATAGACATTTTTCCAAGAAAAACACACAGATGGCCACAGCCATATGAAAATATGCTCAGTGTCACTAGTCATCAGAGAAATTCAAATCAAAACCATGAGATACCACCGCATACCTGTCAGAATGGTTCTATCAAAAAGACAAAAATAACAGGTGTCGGTGAGAATGTGGAGAAAATGGAACCTTGTGCACTGTTAGGAAGAATGCAAATTGATGCAGCCGCTGTGGAAACAGTGTGGAGCTTCCTCAAAAAACTAGTAATAGATAGACCATATGACCCAGAATCCTACTTCTGGTTACTTATTTTAAAATATGAAAACACACTCATACATCTATGCACTCCTATGTTTGTTGCAGCATTATTCACAATAGCGAGGACATGGAAACCACCTGTCCATCGATACATGATTGGGGAAAGAAGACGTGGTGCATGTACACAAAAGAATTCGACTCAAACATAGAAAAGATGGAATACTGCCATTTGTGACAACATGGGTGGCTCCTGAATGTACCATGCTAAATGAAATAGGCCAGACAAAAAGCATATGATTTCACTCCTATGTGGAATATAAAACAAAAAAGTAACAAATGAACTAACAAAACAAACTCCCAGGCTAAGACTATGAGGACGTGTGCATTATATATGCTCTACATATACACACACATACAAATATGCATACATATGCATACATGTATACACCCCTGTATACATGCATATACATATATATGTTTGGATGCAGTGCACTTAACAATGAATTATAATGTCATTCAATTACATCATATTGGTAAGCATTAGTAGACATATAACAAACTTTTTATAGATAACCTAAATCAAACAGATATGGAATCTTAAGAGTAGTAAAGAGAGAAAAAAAACTATGTTATTATACTTAAGCTGATTTTAAGGACAAATTATTTTAAGCCAAGAAAAACTTTAATGTTTATACATACTTCAAAATCATCTTCAAAATTGGCCATGTAGTCAACATTTTCTAAGTCAACGTCTTCCTTTTCAATTTCCTAGAGGTAAAAATCACACATAACAAAAAAATCAATCATAAATTTGAATCTTGCAAATAGGTTGGGAAACCACATGTTGTCTGAGATTCACTTGAAATCACTAACTTAAAAATGTATTTATAAAACTAACAACCTACCTCCAAATTCTTTAAGAATTTGTGAACTGATTAACTAGTATGACCAGAAAGAGAAAGCAGTTAATAAACATATCCTTTTTGAGAAACTTCTGTAATTCTGATGGCTAAAGAAAAAAAGTTTTATACAAATAAATTCCAAACTTTAGCACTGCCGCTCCCTAGTCTATGTCCTACCCATGAACAGATCCCTACGTTTGCAGCCAGGAGCACACTCACACACACACACACACACACACACACGCGCGCACACACTCACACACACACACACACACACACACTCGGCAGCCCGTGTGAACTGCCGCGTGCTCCAGTGACTGAAATACAAGAGCGAGGTCTCAGGTGTGGAGCTTACTCGGCGCCCCCCCCCCCCCCCCCCCAGTGCACAAATTTTTGTCCACCGGGCCTCTAGTCTATACTAATAAAAGCCAGGGGAAGACAGGCTGCCCTTCAGCACCAACTTCAGCACCTGCAACCTGGGGATAAAGAGAGGGACCCGCCGGTAGGAGGTGTGCTCAGTCGTGTCCTGGAGGCTGCACAGTCACCGGAAGGCCACCTGGTCTGGGTCTTAAGGATGAGCAAGGGCTGCAGGAATACCTCAATACCCGGGGCTGCGGAGAGTTATCTAGAGCAAATAGTTTAGAGGAAAAACTGCCCCATGAAAAGGTCCTCCTGGCACATGGTCACGGGCACTCACTACACTGTAGGGATAGCACACGACATTTACTGCTGACTGGTCAGACACACCAGAGCAAAAACCAGGCCCAGCACTGCCCTGCTGACCCACCCGTGTGCAAGCTCTGTGTGACCCGCGTGACTGCACCACGTCGACAGTCTGCACCCAGCAAACACGCAGTGCCCACCACTGCCAGGCCCTCTGCCAGGGAGGACAGGTGACATCTTACTTCTTTGCACAGTAGAACCGGCGGGGGACAGTGACAAGACGGTGCCATCACAGGAGTCTGCCACGTCGGCAGTGTCTCCCCGTCAGTTTTGGAAAGAACTTCTGTGACCGGTCCTCGCTGGTAAGAGGGCATGCCACTGCTGTGGTCCCTGGAGCAGCACCATTTCCCAAGTGACCTGTGACCTGGAGTCTCTCTCCCTGACATGGCCTGAATCTCATGTTTTGTGATGTCTCAATTCAGTTGCTTCAATTCTCCACAAACTTTTGAACTTAAATGCAGAGCAAGGATGAGAAGACTGGCCACTCACGCATCCTGAACCTGTTCCCGGCAAAGCGCTGTGCAAAGCCTCTCCTGGGCCTGCGGAGGAAGGCACTGCACTCAACCAGCCCGTCTCCCCCTCGAGCCCCGAGACGAAGGCTGCCTGCGACTCGCTGAAGGATTCTCAGACAAGTGTGAACACAAAGGTCATGTTCAGACCTCTTCCCCCTTCATTCTCGTCTTCTGCTATCCAGAGGAACACTAATGCCCCTAATGAAATGATGCTGGGGAGCGAGGGAACACGAGTGAGGTATGTCTGCATCACAAGACGCACCCCTTACCACAGTGCCTTCACCTCCTGGCCGCGGAGCCAGCTTCCACACGGCAGGACCCTCATCGTGGCTGTGCTGGGGGACAGAGCACAGCCAGGTCAGCAGCCAAGGGATGGTCTCCCGGGCACCCACAGGCCCACCTGCTCCCCACCTCCCTGGAGGGGCTGCCCTCAGTGGTACTGTGCCTCGGTCTCTTCTCTCGGAAGTGAGGGGATGATGGTGCCTACTGCCTAGTGCCAGTGTGAGGGGCGGGTACAATGAGACTGCCCAGCATGGGAACAGCTGATGGCCAGCTCTGCTGTGGTCACTGCTACAAGGAAGGCAGGACTCCAAGCACCATTGCCCCAAACTACTCAGTGCATAACACTGGGGCGGCACAGTATCACCAGGAAGGAAATAGAGAGCTTCCATGTGCCCAGGCTGTAGGCTCTCTGCAGACACAGGCATTCCCCAGGAGGCCAGGGCAATGCCACAGACACAAGACCCCCAGCCCAAGGAGCTGCCCAGGTCTCCAATGTCACTCCTGCATGCTTTAGGTCGCTCCTCCGGTAAAAAGAATGTAAATGTCTCTCTGATCATTTCTTATATTGATTACATGTCAAAAGGATAATATTTAAGAAATAGTGGATCGCTCTTATTGGTTCAGCTGTGGCTAGAGTATCGGCCTGGGGACTGAAGGGTCCTGGGTTCGATTCCAGTCAAGGGCACATGCCCAGGGTGCAGCTTGATCCCCAGTAGGGGGCGTGTGGGAGGCAGCCAATCAATGATTCTCTCTCATCATTGATGTTTCTATCTCTCTCTCCCTCTCCCTTCCTCTCTGAAGTCAATAAAAATATATTTTTAAAAAATAAATAGTGGATCATATATTATTAAAATTAATTCTGTTACCTTTTTAGTTTTTTACTGGGACTAATAGAAAATTTTAAATTGCAAATGTGGCTCACATTATAATTCCAGTGACCCACACTAATCTAGAGCTTACCAAAAACTTGGGAGACATAAGGAAAATATTAAATCTATATGTTTTCATCCAACAACTCCACTTCAAGAACTTTATCCACAGAGAGTATGGGGGGCTGTGCCATTAGAAATGGAGGTTTTCCACATAACTGGGAGGAACAGCCTGCTACATGGGGGGTAAGAAGGCAGGTGAAACAGAAAAAGGTGCTAAGGTCCCCAAATACACATCAACATGATTGAAAAGGATTTCATGAAAAAAAGATCCTATGGGAAGAAGTGTGGGTCAGGCTAATTTTTCCTCAGGTGTGGTCATAGCTGGAGAGTGAGTGACCCACCACCCCCAAAAGTGAACAAATAAAATGGGCCCACACGCTGCACAAACTAGTTCATGTAAATTGTGTGTTTCTGTGTACATGTATGATATAACAGAGGCCAAAATCTGCCATATTATCTATAACTAGAGGCCCAGTGTACAAAATTCATGCATGGGTAGGGTCCCTAGGCCTGGCCGGCGATCAGGGCTGATCAGGGACTTCCGGCTGCCGGCCAGGGCCTCCCTTCCCAGGCTGCCGGCCGGGGCCTCCCTTCCAGGTGCTGGCCGGGGCCTCCTTCCCTCGCCACCCGCACGCTGCCACCGCAAGGGAAAGAGAAGGCAGGGAGGTGGGGAGGCGGGGAAGCAGGGAAGCTGATCATCGGCCAGGCCTAGGGACCCTACCTGTGCCCAAATTTCGTGCACCGGGCCTCTAGTATATAGATAACAAAAAGCCTAGGAAAAATGGTTTCATGGCATTATAACTGGTGTACCACTGCAGCTACAATAATCATGATGAAAACTGTTCCGTGTCTACTCTTCTGACGGTACCAACATGGAGGACTGGGAAGGGCGTGGTCTCTGATTCTCCCCGTGCTGACACCACAGTGACAAGAGGAAGAACTTCACTCCCAGGAGAAATGGGCCATGGGGTCACCTGACCTGGACTTCTCTTTAGGAAGACTTCCTTTTTAAAAAAAATATATTTTATTTATTTTTTACAGAGAGGAAGGGAGAGGGACAGAGAGTTAGAAACATCGATGAGAGAGAAACATCGATCAGCTGCCTCCTGCACACCCCCCACTGGGGATGTGCCCACAACCAAGGTACATGCCCTTGACTGGAATCGAAACTGGGACCCTTCAGTCCGCAGGCTGACGCTCTATCCACTGAGTCAAACCGGTCAGGGCAAGACTTTCAACATTAATGCAATTTCTTACTCACCATCGGTCTGCTCAGACTTTCTATTTCTTCTTGAGGCAGTTTCAGTAACTTACACCTTCCAGGAATGTGTCCCTTTCGCCTGGCTGTCGGGCTAGACTGGAACGCTGTCGCTGCATCCGCTAGTGAGAGCGGGTGCTGCCGTCTCAATGACACACAATTTTCTATTTCTCCCTTTAATTCTGTCACTTTTGCTTCCTGTATTTTAGGGCTCTTTTGTGAGGTATGTGTTCACAGATCATTGTTAACCTTCCTGCGGAGCTAATTATTTTATCCTTATGAGATGTCCCTCCACCTCCTGACACTCTGTGTCCAGTCCCTTCTGTGACACCAGCACAGCCACTCCAGCTCTGTGACAGCTGTTTGATGGCTTCCTGTCCATCTTTTTTGCTTCCAATCTCTTTCAGGTTTTTAATCTGGAGTGTTTCTTGTGTGCCTCCAGCAGCCACCATTCCAGTGACCCATCAGGCAAACCAAGTGCCCGGCTAGCCTTACTGCACAGTGAGGCCGGCATGACATCCTTACCTTCCTTCTCGAGTCTTTATCTTTTCCACTGCTCCTCACTACATCCTCTGCATGCCTAGAAAGAAAATATGATCAAAACCAAAATTGATTTTAAAAAAGTAGATCGTTTTAGATGTCAGCAAAGGCTCTTCTCAATATTTGACAAGATGAAGTACTACTGTAAATGGCGAGTTTTCAAAGTGCGCTTTATCAGAACTGTAAACACTAAAGTGTTCCTAGCACTTTTACTATTTCAGGAGTAATCCAAAACACAAAATATCTTCAGTGGAGAGAAGAAACTGGGTTTTAACAAACTTGTGTATGAATCTCCAACCTTATACGAGTTCTAGAAAATTCCTATAATTTTATTAGTCAATCCCAAATGTTATTTTATGCTTAATATAATAGTTGGATTTCCAAAAGAAAGATTTACCTTACAATGTTCTATTTGTTAATCATATGCTATACGTTAGTTGGGACCTAAAATTAAGGCTTTCAAATTTTCAAATTAATTCTCAATTTTCGGAACTTACATTCACCCCAATTTGCTGTAGCATATGGTCGAGGAGGCCCACAGCTGAGCACAGCTTCCCTGTGTGTTCCAGCAGACTGGCAGCACAAAGGCCAAGAATTTGCACCCCTGGGTTTAAGTGCTAGCTTTGCTCAAACTTGTAAAAATTTGGGCAAGGCATTTAGCCTGCATTTTCCTAATCTGTGAAAAAGAATTGCCAAATATGGCTGCCATAAAGAACAAACTAAAATCTACAGCTTATATACAAAATGAGGTTATACATAAACTCTAATCTGTAATCTTCACAAAACCCACACAAAATAGGTATCATTTTTGTGAAGAAAAGGCTCTGAAGGGCCCCCAACATCCCAGAGAGAGGCAGACAGGCCACTCCTGCCGACTGGTGCCAACGGCCTTGCTCTAATTACTGCAGCCACAGACCTGGGGCTGGGGATGGCGGGCCTGTCACATGTTTATCGGATGAGGACCAAGAGCCCTCCTGTAGACATTCTTCCCTCCAGGCTGGACGGCCCCCCATGGAAGGGTCATCTTCCAAATGAGTTACTCCCCCAAAGTGAGTTCTGATTCTCTAGCTTTGCATGAGCAAATACAAAAAGGCAGAATAAGATCTATAATTTGTAGCAAGTTTCCAGTTCCCTAGTGTACTTCAGATATGATTTGGAGGATTGAGTAAGTAAAGTATGTCTATCACTTATTGCCATTTCCTGGCTATAATTAGGCCCAATAAGAAAAATTCAGCATTCATCATGTTATCTATACTAATAATAGAGGAATATGCAAATTGTCTGGGATACTGTCACAGTAACAGTAACAACCGAACAGCAGGCTGCATGGGGCAACCAGGTCAGCAAGGGGGTTAGTGAGGGACGACCAGACGACTAAACAGCAAGCTGCGTGGGGCAACCTGGCCAGCAGGGGGGTTAGTGAGGGACGACCAAACGAC